GATCAAGTCGCTTCTTTACTTTTCGAACCATTCCTGCTGATATTGCTATTTTCTTCCGTCCACTTTTTTGACGTCGGGCTACGTTACTAGCATCACGGTAACGAGCGATGGTACGAGACACAAAAGATTTATTCACAACTAAATGCTGGAGTGCTCTAACTAATCACTTGTGATTTTCCAGCCAAATATAAAGAAATCACTCAATCACGCTTGAATACCATCACGAATAACTTTTTTTCTGGAAAATTCTCACCAAAATGCTTTTGAACGCTTGTAAACAATAAAATGAGCTGTCAGTGGAATAAATTTAACAGCTGTCGGACGAGTGGCTTAGAAATTACAGCAGTCTGAAGTTGGTTGCAGTTTTTTCACTTTTGACCTTTCGAAATATATATCCGCTTTTCACAATATTCATTGGCAACTATTCTTGGTGGTAGACCAGACTTTGTTCAAATATTCTAATATAACTAATATATCTAGGTATGATACAGGCGTTTGGACCAAAACCAACCTGTAACACCCCAACCATTTTGTGTTGTAGTTGATGAACATAAATTCTGATAATTTTGCAATCAAACGGTAATCTTTTAATTATTATTTATTATTCAAATAATTGCAGTTTCTTTATGGCAATATTAAATGGCTATTATCATTAATAAAAGTTTTAATATCAAAAAGGGCTTATAGAATATGGGTTTATAGAATAGTGTGTGTCACACACACACACACACACTAAGGGAATGATAAATATTTGTTCATACATGATTGATATTCAAAGCTAAACACATAAAATCCTGTAATGCTAGCTCTTTAGATGGGAAGTTTTAGAGAGAGAGAGAGAGAGATACATGGAAATGTAGTTCAAATAAGGCAATACAAAATATTTTGAGATTTCTCATTAAAATGGTAATTTTGTCATACTGTATTCAATGCTTACACCTTTGGCCGTACTGAATACTTTTAGCTCTGGAAAAATGCTCAATAAAGGTACATCTTTAAATATCTTATGGGTGCCCGGACATTATTATAGGAAGATTATAACAGTTTTTTTTTTTACAAAATTCCCATTCCATTATGGGGGTCATTACCGAAAAAATGGTCACAACCCCCAAAATCTTAATGGGGATTATGCCAGTGGGGATTATATATACAACGACATCTCCGGGTATTTTTTTTTATAAACTCAGCCATATGGCAGGGAATATATCATTTGATACGGCCAAAAAGTGCCTCATTGGAATACCGGTTTAAGATCCTACGTCTCTTTGGACCAAATCCGTTTCAGGACATTAGGAGTCGATCCGTCCGTCCGTCTGCCTGGCTGATGCGCACGATAACTCTCGAAGGAAGTATCCGCTTTGGTTCAAACTAGGTACATCGTAATCTTGTTAACAAACTTAAATCGAGTTCGGAGACGGGCAATATCGGTCCACTCCTTCTGGTACCTGTCCCCAAAAAGGCCGAAATTTAAAAAAAAAATACTGAAAAAAAAGAGAAAGGATAATCCGATTCTTCTCCAACTTTGCAAATCCTAATATTTGCATCAGTGCTAGTTCTGGTGCGAAAATAGACAATATCGGCCCACTCCATCAAGTACCTCCCCCACAAAGTGCCAAAATTTTGAATAATTATATATCTTATTATAATTCCAATATAACATATAACAATACTTTTATTCACCCAAGGTCTGGTGTGACCCCCACAAAGGATCAAAACTCTAAATATCATAATATCCGATTCCATTCAGACTTGGCACGCCTCAATATTTCTATCAATACTAGATCTCTTATTAAGATTGTAGAGATCGGACCATTTCTCCTGGTACCTCCATTTTGAATATCCATGAAGGTCATAAAACGCGAAATCAACATCCGATTTCATTCAGACTTGGTACATCGAAATATTTCCAACAACGCAAGATCCGATAGAATGATAGGAGATATCGGTCCATTTCCATGTTCCACCCACCTCCCCCAAACCCCAAATAGTGTTCAAGATTCTAAAAATCAAAACGCTCAAAGAAAACGAAATAAGTATCCAACACTCTTAAAATTTCACACATACAAACATTTTTGCTAATAAAAGATCTGTTGTGAAGATGATGTATATGTGCGAACCCCCTCTTGTGCCTCACCAACAAAGGACCAATTCTTTTATCTGTCATAGCTTGAGAAAAAAGTCAGTGATTCTTTACAACTTGAGATGAATATGGAATGGAATAGTTTATAAAATTGGATATACAGGGTGAGATAAAAAAAACGGAAACAAAGTCAAGTGCCATAATTTTTACAATATTTTTAAATTTTATTGAATAATAGCAAAAAAAATGTCGGAAAAGCATCAAATTTTAAAATAAGTTTTGATTTGTTCGAATTGGTTACCTTTGGCACGAATTATGGCCTTCAAACGGTCAATAAAACATCACACGCTGCCCGAATACTGTTCTGCGGTGTTTTTTGGCCCATTCCCGGCGAAGCGATTGCTTGAGTTGATCGACACTGTGGTATTTTTTAGTGCCAACTTTGCTTTCCAAAACACTCCAGACACAATAGTCCATCGGATTGTTATCAAAATATTTGCGTGCCCAAGGCTTTAATACACCTTCCACAGTATTTTCGCGATAATATTTGGCATTTATTCTGATGCCATGGTCGTTTAATACGAGCGGAGAGCGACTAAATGGTACAGTTTGGTTTAGGGCGAACGGATTAAGTTGGAATTTAAAATTTATAAATTTTGTAATGGGGATAATGTGGGTATTAGGTTTGAGAATTAAAGTTGATTTTGGAAATGTGTACGAAAAGTACTAAATAGTACTATATTTAGTTCAATTTGATACTGGAACGAATTGTGACTGAAATCGGAATTTTGGTATTAAGATCACTGTTCATGTGTTCATGTTTTCGAAGTGTGGATTATAATTGTACGAAAAGAATTAAATGATACTAAATTTGGTCTTGTTCAAAGGAATAGAGATACGATTCTGAAATGTGATATTTATATTACTAATGATATCTGCGTTTACTAAATGGTACTAAATTTGGTATTGGGTGAGGGCATAAGGCTGGAATCCTCAAATTTGATATTGAGGTTCTGAGACATGGAGGTTGTTTTGGAAATGTGTTCCATATGTGTACGAAAAATACTAAATAGTACTAAATTTGTTTCTATATTTGAACGAAAACTACTAAATAGTGCTAAATTTGTTATTGGGTTAAGGTATGGAACAGAAATCCCAAAAATTTGATATAAATGTCACTGTTTGTGTCTGGTGATGATTTTGCAAATGAGTACTATTATGGTACGAAGAGTACTGAATGGTACTATATTTGGCGAAGGGATAGACATAAAATTCCGAAATTTGATACACAGATTACTAATGGCTTGAGTCCTGACGGTGATATAGAAATGTGTCCTTTAGTTTTTGTATACGAAATGTACTAAGTGGTAATAAATTGGGTATTGGTTAAGGGGAGAGAGCTGGAAATTTTATATTGAGGAAATGTGTACTATGTATGTGTATGAAAAGTAACAAATGGTGTTAAATTTGGTTTTGGGTGAAGGGATAGAGCTGAAATTCTGAAATTAGATATTGAAGTTGCTGTTGTTATCTGGTGTTATGATCTGATGGTTATTTGGGAAATGCCTACTATAATAGTTCGAAAATTACTAGATGGTACTAAAATCGGTATTGGCTGAAGGGATAGGGCTGGAATCTTGAAATTTGATATTGAAGTCTCTGTTGGTATGTGGAATTGAGATCTGGATGTTGTTTTGAAAATGCGTACTATAATTCGAATAGTTCGAAAAGTACTAAATGATACTTGTTTTGGATAACTATTGGTGAAATTTAGATTTTTTGAAATTGGGTTAAGGGATAGGAGCTGAAAGTCTGAAATTTTATATTCAGGTCACTGTTGGTCATATGGAGACGTTGAAAGAGTTTTGGGCAGGATAATTGAATGTGGGTCAATTGGGTATTTTTTTACTCATATCCTTCTCGGTGGAATGATAGAATTTGAAGACTTTTTGATGAAACTTTTTTTCCATAAACCTTCTTCGTATATAAAACCTCAAAATACTGAGAAGTTTCAACATTTGATTAAAAAAAATTATCAAACAGAACAAATTGTGTGTTTTGAGTAGCAACGAATCTAAAATTTTAAGGTGGACTTCTTCACGAATTAGTCCCTTGTAGCTTGTTATCGTGCGCTCCAACCGGCCAAATTCACAGGTAAACTGACGAACTAGATTGACTCCAAGTTTCTCGAAACATATTTAATCCAAAGAAACCTAATGTCTAAATTAATTATTTCGATGAGGCACAACGATATATATATATATATATATATATATATATATATATATATATATATATATATATATATATATATATATATATATATATATATATATATATATATATATATATATATATATATATATATATATATATATATCCTCTGTAATACGGTATGAAGATTTCCGACCGTCATGTATTAAATCCGTTTTTATTTTCCTCTAAAACTGAAATATTGTAAATCCTTGGCAATGCAAGAATTCCAATGCATTATACAAATTATCCAAAATTATAATACATCCAAGCCAACCCCCTCCCCACAGTGGGATACCTCACAAAGCGAAGATATTTGCCTTGTCTAAAACAGAATTAACTTTTCTCCCTAACCCCTTGAGCTATTTTTACATAAACTAATGAAATTATGGAGATTCAAAACTTAACGAAATAATGCCAAGCCGGATATTGGCGTTTATTCATTTGTGGTTGTGTAGGTAATTTGCCAAACGAGCAGGAACGCTTTGATGCCCAGGCACATTGGCTGCCTACCTACCTACCTTGCAGCGATAAATCACAAACAAATTAGTTTAGCTACTATTCTATTGATATTTATGTGATTATTAATTGAAAATGTATTTTACCTTATTTTCTTCTCATTTCATTTCCTTGCCTCTGTCCCGCCTGTTTGCGCCGCAATAAATAGGTTACAAGCGTGTAGCTTGGCCTCCAGCCAATGAAGAACGGGTTGTACGTGAGTTTACACCACAGCCCCATGCTCAATACACGGCACCATTGTATGCTCCACAAGCTCAGGAACAAAATCAACCCCAACAACATCAACAACAATATCAACCAAATGCTGCTGTACCATCAACTCAGGTAAGTTCAGATATTTGAAATGAAACCAAACGGAAAAAAACCAATAGAAAAACTATAAATAAGGACATAAATGTCTGGTTGCAAAAAAAAAGTTAGAATGTTTTTTTGTAATTTCCTTTCGTTTAATGTGATATAAAAAGAAGAAAAAATAAAAACGAGAAGATAGAAATGGAGTAAAAAACACACAAACGCACACACACACCAATACAAAAAAGTGATTTAATCGAATTGTAAACAAAAGCTGAGTGAGTGTGCTTGTGTGTGTGCGTTTGTGTGGCTTTACTTTAATTACTCGTCCTTCCTTCCTTTTTTACAAAGCAATTAATCCCAGCCACTCAATTGCAACAATAACCAAGTCTCATTTAAACATATATACGTACATAACTACACATACATATACACATTACTGTCAGGGGATTAACGTAACGTTTGTAAATATATATATAACCAATAATATTCTATATATCCAGAATTTTTGTGTTTGATTCTTGTTTTTTAAGAGATTTAAGTTCTATATAAATATTTATGTTTATTATTTTTTAATACAGTATTATTTTTGTAACACATGTGTGTGTGTGTATTTATTGTATATGTATAAATATTATAGAAAGCTTATATATTTTACGTAAACACATATGTACATATGTAAAAAAAAAATAAACAAACGTTAGTTTTTTAGTGCGATTTTTTTCATAGTCTTTAAAACACATTATTCAATATTTCAAACCGGATATATGTTGAAATATTTTTTGTACTATAGAATAACAAAATTATGACTTGGTGTGAGTAACAGTCCATATTTGTACAGTTCGTGAGGCTTAGAAAACCCTCAGGCTCTTGAGTATTAAAAAATATTACTAAAAATAATTTTTCGAAATGAAAAATGCTGGAACTAATAAAATAAATGGTTTAAATTTTGAGTTACAATTTATTCATGCTTTACAGGGTGATTTTTTAGCTATTATTCTTTTGACAATACGGGCTTAAATAGCTCACACTGGTTTCATTATTGTTATTTTAACGGGTATACATGTTTTGTTGATTTTCTGCTAATCCGGTTCTAACTCCAGATTAAAACAGTAAAGAAAGTCTTATGATACCCTACACCACTTTGCATATTTGGTAGAGCTTCACATAAATAAAAGTTTTAATGGCGAATTGTGGAAATTAAATCATACCAACTATGATTAAAGTATTAATTAAAAGTCCAAAGGAACTAATATATGGGAGGAATATCCTCCTCTAAATCGAGTTCTACTAAATTTGCCGAGACATTTACGCCTTTTCAATTCGGGCTTGTATTATCCATTTGGTGCACAATTAATTTGAAAGCGGATAGATACGGATAGATGAGAGCTATATCTAAATCTGAACCGATCTCGATAAAATTTGGCAAAGGTATTTCTGAGCTGTATTTGATAAATTTCCCCGGATATTGTTACTACGGCTATGCAGGGCAAATTCAACAAATCGGATGAACAATATGTATGGGAGCTATAGTTATAGCCGAACCGATTCCCACCAAATTTAACATACTGGTTTCTGGACTCAATTTAGTCGTAAGTGCCAAATTTCATTCCATTTGGGCTAATATTACACGTTTGGTGCACAATAAAATGCAAATCGGACGATGATATATATGGGAGCTATATCCAAATATTAACCGATCTCCAAAAAATTTAGCAAGGGTATTTCTGAGTTATAGTTGATATATTTCCCCAAATATCGTTGTTACAGAGTGCATATTACGGCTGCGTAGGACAAAAATTACAAATCGGATGAACAGTATATATGGGTGCTATAGCTATATCTGAACCGATTTTGATCGAATTTGGCACACTTATTTCCAAGCTTAATTTAGTCGAACGTACGAAATTCGATGCTATTTGGTCTGATATTACACGTTTGGTGCACAATATAAGGCAAATGGGACGAAGATATATGTGGGAGCTATACCTATTATCTCCAATTTTAGTAGGGTTCGTCCTTGGGTCAAACAAATTATTTGTGCAAAATTTCATCTGAATCGGGCAATAAATGCGACTTGTATCTTGTTTACAAAAATACATGGACAGACGGACGGACATGCACAAATCGACTCAGAATGTGATTCTATGCAGATCAACAAAAGGAACTATGGGTCTAACTTGTTTCCTTTTGCCTGTTACAAAAAAAAATGCGCAAAGGCATAATACCCTGACCATCTTATGGTGTAGGGTATAAAATGTGGCTTTAAGCAAAGATCTTCTACAGGGAGTTTAATAGATTTGGCTGGGTACTTGAAGAGGTGCAGCAATTGTGCGTTCCTATAACATGTCGAGCAGACATATCGCACACCATCCTGAACGTAGTTGCACCAAAACTATCCTATACTGTAATTGTTGATGGCGTCTGAATATTACTCAGACGTGCCTGATAGGCTTCTTTGTTAAGTGGTTCTCTCCTTTACATTGTTGGACTTCTCTCTCTCTCTCTCTCTCTCTCTCTGTAGATCACGCATGTCCAACCTGATACGCTTGATTGGGGGAATTCTATCCACCATATGATGGTTTGGATGACTTCCACGATAACATCAAAGCAGACACATGATTATGCTGACGTACCGAACAGACCTTCGACTCCTCTTGTAGATGGACCACTGGTGCCATGAGGAGGCACCCAGTCGTAGTTCTCAGTCCAGCATTCTGCAGGTCTGTATGTTATTCCACTGCGTAGCACTTGTGGTACTTAAACCTGCCTGAGGGTTATATTATTTAGTGGTTCTCTCCCTTACATCGTTGGTACGCTTGATGGTTTGGATGAGTTCCACAATAACATCCAAGCAGGTACTGCAACGAAAGCATATGATTATGCTGATGTACCTAAAGGATCTCCTCCTCATGTAGATCTCCTCCTGTCGCAGTTCTCAGTCCTGCATTCTGACAGGTCTGGATGTTATTCCACTGCGTAGCACTTGTATTCGCAGACCACCCTGGCGCGGAATAGACGGACCTATCGCGTTATAAGAGGTCAACCCTGTCCGCACACCAAGTGCTGCCGGTAAGGAATTTGAGGATCTTGTTCCTACCTTTCACTTTGTCGCAAATAGCTGTGGCTTTAGCGGACGACGGGGAAATGTTGTCGAATGTGACCCCATAGGATCTTGGGGTAGTTCGAGTCGAAATCAAATTTCCCTCGACCCGCACTTTCAGCTGTGTTCTCATCGCCGCAGACCTCATGGTAAAGTTTTTGGTTGTTAACTCAGTGCCGGGATTTTGGGAATAATTTCGTATTTTATAAAACTTATGATTACACTGTGCGAGAGAATTAACAATCAAAATCCAGTAGATAATAAAAGTAGAGCTTATAATAAAAGACAAGTGTATGAGCGCTGTGAATGTTTATATCGCAAAAGAGCGCAAATACAGTGGGTGAATTCATATTTTACAAAATTATTTGAGTTTATGTAATATTTTCCCGCCAAACATTATATTAGGAGGATTTCTTCGAGGGCTAATATATTATTTATCAAATTTCACTACAAGTCACCAAAGAAAAGAAAACTCAATTTCAATTTTAAATCAAAAAAATATCATATCAATATCATCAATGTTACCAAAAAAAACCTTAAATATCCTCTTTTTCCTTCGCTTTTTTTCGAATGGACGCCTGAAATTAACATAACTTTCAGTTTAGGCAAAAAGTGTTAAAAGAGGAAATATTCTACACAAAATTCTGTCTACAAATCTTAGAATAAATTATATACCTGGGAATAATAGTTTATTTTCGAAATTCGAAATTCATATATCACAAGCGAGAATTATGTGTTTACGTCTTTTTACTGCAAATTAAACGCGTTTCCATTCTAAGTCAAAATCTTCCTCAACACTATATTTTTTGGTGAAAGTATTAAAGGAAGAAATATTATACATCAAATTTCACTATGAGTCTCTGAACAAACGAAATTGGTATAATCAATATATAACATAAAATGTATCGTCAATTGTGGTCTATAATTTTTTTTCGCAAAATTTAGCACTTTTTTCGAATTCACAGTAACTCATCTGAGTTTATGCAATATTTTCCTGCAAAGCGTAATTTTCCAAAGATGAACTCAAAAACAAAAAAAATATTCTTTATAAAATTTCATCAGAAGTCTCCAAAGTGAAGAAATCTATATTTCTATTTTATACCAAAAAATATTTTCATCAATGTTACCAAAAAAACGCAAATATTTCCTATTATTTCGTTAATTTTTCCTCTGTTTTTTTTTTTTTTTTTTTTGATTCGACGCCTGAAAGTAATATAAAATTTCGTTTTAAGCAAAAGGTGTCAAAAGAAGAAATATTCTACATAAAATTTAATTATGAATTTCAGAATAAATCATATATCTGGGAATAATAGTTTTTAAAAGAAATACATTCGAAATTTATATATCACAAGTACAAATCATGTGTTTACTTTTTATTGCTTCTAATTTAAGACCTTTCCATTCTTAGTCAAAATCTCCCTTTATACTTCATTTCTTGGAGAAAGTGTTAAAGGAAGAAAGATTCTACATCAAATTTCGCTATGAGTCTTTGAACAAAAGGAATGTGTAGGCTATGTATGTACCATAAAAAATATAATAGATTTTGGTTTATAAAAATCTTTTTTATTTCGACAAATTTAGCACTTTTTCGAAATTCGCAGTAATTTATGTGAGTGTATGCAAAATTCTCCTGCAAAGCATTATTTTAGAATTATGACTTCAAAAACAAAAATATTATTCATCAAATTTCACTAACAGTCTTCAAGCCTTCAAATAACTGAAATAATTTTATATTGGGTACTCGATTCCATTCAACTTCAAAATGCACCCGGAAACCAGGAGTATTGATATGAGCTATTTTTCTCTGTATTTTAATTGCATAGTTATTAATTAATGAAAAAGCTTAAATGCTTGTTATAATCAACTTCAGTACAACAGATCTCCCCCTCTCTCTCTTGGAATTATATACAAGATTTTATTCCAGCCTTTA